TTTTTGCGTCGTGAGAATATTGAGTAAAATAGCTCACTTGTCATGGTGTTATTTAACTATATCATGTTATGAATAAACTAAACATTCTGAATTTTTACCTCAGTGTGTTTCTTCTGAGTTTATGTGTGCTGTTACGCTCATTTGTTATGAAGACTCTCACAAAGAGACAAACAGAGTGAGCCTCACCTCAGCAGTGCGACCTTGTATTCTGTATTCTGCTAACTTACTGCAATTCTCTCTGATGACGCATTAACTTACCACGGGGAAGAAAAAATGATTGTAAACAGTCATTAGGTCCGTCAGACTTAAGATATTTTAGCGGTAATGTGACAAAAATATTTAAGACCCATCAAATCGGAATTTAAGACATTAAGACTTTTTAAGGCCCTTTATTAGGAAAACGTTATTTAAGACATTTTAAGACTTTTTAAGGCCTCATATTAGGAAAATGTTATTTAGTTCAAGTTCATTTTTTTAGAACAGAAGAGTCAAGTGAAGGCTTTTTGAGTAGGAGAGTGACTGTAGCTACTTTAAGACTGGCAGGGACAGCGCCAGTTTGGAGACACTTATTGATAAGAGACACCAAACCAGGTCCAATTGAATCAATGATTAATTTTAAGAATATCGGGTGAATATTGTTAGAACAAAATGAGGGTTTGAGCTTGTCAATCACCTCCTTCAATGCCTGGAAATTGATAGGTTTGAAAGCATCCCAAAAGGCAGAGGCAGATGACAGAGTTGGAGAAACAGTTAAAGTGGGGCAGACACTAAGTCTTAAGTTAGTAATTTTGTCACTGAAATATCTCAAGAAGCTTTCACAGAGAACATCAGAGAACATCATATTTAAGACTTTTTAAGGACCTGTGGACACCCTGCAATAATAACTGAATTCTTTTTTTTACTATGCTATATGTAACTCATTTGATTAACATTTTTAATCAGGTTTTTTTTTTTTTTTTTTTGAGTGTACCTTGCTCCAGTTTGTTGGCAGCAGCACGAAGTGTGTTGGAAGTGGCGGCGTTGTCAATAGAAGGTGTGCCAGGTCGACTTCCTGTCCTTGAACTACCTGCTGAGCCACGACCACCCCCTCGCTTAGGAGGAGTGCGCTTCTTCTGTGAGAGGGGAGACAACAAGAGAGCACTGTACCATATACACATGAAACAACATTAGAATCTTCGCTCTCAAACACTCTCCCAAACACACACACACAAATATAGGACATTACCACCATGAACAGTGCTGAAGCTGCCTCTCCTTCAATATCACTGTCCTCTGAGCTGTCGGACTCGCCACTGCTGTCTGAAACATTTTTTTTTTACAAAAACAAACAAACAAACAAATATATATATATATATATATATACACACACTCTTATATATAAAATACAGAGAATGTCCACATTATGGAGGACTAAGATTAGCACTTAAAAAAAAAGAAAAGTGATTTGACAATGCATTTTAATAGTTGCATTTAAAATATTTTTAAATGCATTATTTTACTGTTGCATTTAACTAGAATTTTTATTATTACTAAAATAAAGTTATGAATGTCTATTTATTTTTAAACATTAATTAAATAATTTTTAAATATGTCATTTAAAAAAAAAGGTTTTTATTTTTAAATGAACTGACAATTAATTCCTTCATTTTATTTAAATTTTTAGTGGTATGCCTAGTCTCCAATAAACATAACTAACACTTTGAAAAACTTGCTTACTTAATCCTCTTCATCCCATGTGAGACTTAAGGCCACAACACTTTGCAATACAAAGAAATAAAAATCCAAAATGAGACTGCCTTTACCTTTCTTTTTCTTCTTTTCCACCTGCACCGGTGTCTTCTTTCCATCTTCCTCCTCTTCTTCCTCCTTGCCATCTTCCTCATTCTTGTTTTCTTCCTCACTCTCTTCCTCACTGTCAGACATTTCATCAATCCCTGAAAAAAAGGTGTTGGAGCTTCATGGAGTTGTCTCAAATCAAACATCAGAATTAAATGAAGTGCACTCCTGCAAAAAGGAAAAGAAAAAAAAACACCTTCAAAATCACCAACCTTTAGGTACGTCCTCTCCCTTATTGGGCTTGGTCTTCTCTGGCTCCTCTTCTTCAGAACTGGAGCAAAGAAAGAATGATGATGATGATTAGGCTGCAGTAACCATGAAGAGAGACTTTGGATAAAGGGCTGTTAGTATGTGGCAACAGTAACTGTACATAAAGATTCACCTGCTCTCATCAGACATGTAGTCCACCTCCAACCCCTCAAAGTCGCCATCATCACTATCCTCGAATCCTTCCAGGTCGCTGCCCTTTTTCTTCTTCTTCTTTCCCTTGCCTTTGGGGCCTTTGTCCTTTTTAGCTTTTGACTTGGCTTCATCATCTGCATTGAAAGAAGACATTTTGGTAAGACAGCCCTACATTTGACACTCCTCTTGCTCTCAGAGCCTTTGCTCACCGTCTCCATTGCTGCCGTCACTCTCATCGCTGCTCATTTCCAAATCATCCTCAAGGTCATGTATGCGCAGGTCTCCTCCCCTGCCTCCCTTCTTCTTTTTCTTCCCCCCCTTTTCTCCTTCCTCCTCATCCTCCTCTCCTCGCTCCTGTCCTCTGAGACGTCGCTGAAGCATGATACTGAAGTGATTCACCACTTTGTTTCTCCTATATGAGGAAAAATAAGCAGATGTGATGTCTGAGCTTTAGACGCGTTTACAATTATTTGACAATGGCCTCTCAGGAGAGCCATCAGAGCTGTTCTCATGAATACAAACACTCAACCTGCCCCACTCTTCCTCTGCCTCCTCTGCTGTGAGCGTGCGGTGCTTGGCCTGCGGCGTGAAGTTGTACCAGGAATGCACGGGAAATGCCTCGAAGGCCCCATCGGCACACTGTGTGAAGATGTAGTAGGAAGCGTTCTCAGTGACTCCACCTTTTTTCAGACCCTTGAATCTGAGTGATAAAGAGGAACAATAGGGCAGTGTTTTAATGAGGTGTAGTCCTCATATAAGGCAAGCAACATATAAACTCAACAAAATGCTGACAGCAATCAAAAATAGTCTCATAAAACACATTTTAAAACTATCTTAATGCAGGGCCCTATGAAATCTGTGTTTTGCATTTTAACGGTTTAATGAAATTTGAATAATCAAAATGGCTGTCTAATCAGTTGAGTTCATAAAACTTTTTAACATTTTAATTTATTAAAATTGTAACAATAATAGTGCCCTTATAATTTTTTCTGGTTTATGTGTTTTATCATTTAATACAAATGTAATATCAAAAACAGCAATAATCAATGAATGCATAAAACTTTTTCATTAATCATTTAAAATTTAATCAAATGAAATTTAAACCATTCCTTTGATTTTTAGCAACAACAAAAAAAAGTGCTGCATAACAGAGGTTTACTGTTTAAATTAAAACATGGATGATGTTTTAAAATTGTGTGATTTCTTAAAAATATTGTTTAAAAAAGTTGCTAATGAATCAGAAGTCTTATACATTTTTAGAAAATGGCTTACTTCCACGTTAAGGTGGATAGTTAGCAGGTGCTGAAAACACCTTTAGTTTCATGCTTGCTTGAGTATGTGTAGTAGACAAAACTTCGGCATTCATTGACATAGAACAACAATTATTGGCTTATCAAGCTTTATTGTAAGTATGGGCAGCTAAACACACTCACAAATAACACAAAACAAGTGTCAATAAGATGAAAAGGATAAAAGCAGAAAAGGATAAAAGCAGAAACCTATACCGTCTTCCTGCCTTGCCATTAACTTTAAGGATCCAGGGCTGGTCCTCCACCTTGAACTCCTTCGTAACGATGCCATACTTCTTCCTCCGTGCTTCCTCTCTCTGTTTCTTTCCGAACTCACTGCCTGCTGCCCCCTCCTGAGTCTCCTCCTCACCATATATACGCCTATTACTCATGTCACGCTCCATACGAGCCTAAACATTGCATATATATATATAGAGAGAGAGAGAGAGAGAGAAAGAGAGAGAGAGAAAAAACAAAAGGAAAAATATAGCTGCAAGCAGCACTTGCCGGGGATCAAGCACTTTAAGGCCCTGAAGGTGGTATGCTTTTAGGGACTAGACCAACCTAGATGTATGGCTGAAAGTAAAACACATCCAAAATGGAGAAAAGGCTCACAGACACAGACACACACAGAAATGAAATGGTTAAACTACTATATTAATACTACTATATTAAAGCATACTTGCGCACACACACACACACACAGACATAAATTCACACACATTTTGTTATAGATATAGATATTTGACATAAATGATAGGTGACAATATTTATTGCAAGTCGTCTCTTTTTAGGAGTTTATATGTCATTTTCAGGTTTCACTGTCTTCTTTTTCTTCCCCCCCTTTTCTCCTTCCTCCTCATCCTCCTCTCCTCGCTCCTGTCCTCTGAGGCGTCGCTGAAGCATGATACTGAAGTGATTCACCACGTTGTTTCTCCTATGTGGAAAAATAAGCAGATGTGGTGTCTGAGCTTTAGACGCGTTTACAATTATTTGACAATGGCCTCTCAGGAGAGCCATCAGAGCTGTTCTCATGAATGCAACACTCAACCTGCCCTCACCTGCCCCACTCTTCCTCTGCCTCCTCTGCTGTGAGCGTGCGGTGTTTGGCCTGCGGTGTGAAGTTGTACCAGGCGTGAACGGGAAACGCCTCAAAGGCCCCATCAGCACACTGTGTGAAGATGTAGTAGGAAGCGTTCTCCGAGACTCCACCTTTTTTCAGACCCTTGAATCTGAGTGATAAAGAGGAACAATAGGGCAGTGTTTTAATGAGGTGTAGTCCTCATATAAGGCAAGCAACATATAAACTCAACAAAATGCTGACAGCAATCAAAAATAGTCTCATAAAACACATTTTAAAACTATCTTAATGCAGGGCCCTATGAAATCTGTGTTTTGCATTTTAACGGTTTAATGAAATTTGAATAATCAAAATGGCTGTCTAATCAGTTGAGTTCATAAAACTTTTTAACATTTTAATTTATTAAAATTGTAACAATAATAGTGCCCTTATAATTTTTTCTGGTTTATGTGTTTTATCATTTAATACAAATGTAATATCAAAAACAGCAATAATCAATGAATGCATAAAACTTTTTCATTAATCATTTAAAATTTAATCAAATGAAATTTAAACCATTCCTTTGATTTTTAGCAACAACAAAAAAAAGTGCTGCATAACAGAGGTTTACTGTTTAAATTAAAACATGGATGATGTTTTAAAATTGTGTGATTTCTTAAAAATATTGTTTAAAAAAGTTGCTAATGAATCAGAAGTCTTATGAAAATGGCTAAAATGGCTTACTTCCACGTTAAGGTGGATAGTTAGCAGGTGCTGAAAACACCTTTAGTTCTTGAGTATGTTGAGTATGTGTAGTAGACAAAACTTCGGCATTCATTGACATAGAACAACAATTATTGGCTTATCAAGCTTTATTGTAAGTATGGGCAGCTAAACACACTCACAAATAACACAAAACAAGTGTCAATAAGATGAAAAGGATAAAAGCAGAAAAGGATAAAAGCAGAAACCTATACCGTCTTCCTGCCTTGCCATTAACTTTAAGGATCCAGGGCTGGTCCTCCACCTTGAACTCCTTCGTAACGATGCCATACTTCTTCCTCCGTGCTTCCTCTCTCTGTTTCTTTCCGAACTCACTGCCTGCTGCCCCCTCCTGAGTCTCCTCCTCACCATATATACGCCTATTACTCATGTCACGCTCCATACGAGCCTAAACATTGCATATATATATATAGAGAGAGAGAGAGAGAGAGAAAGAGAGAGAGAGAAAAAACAAAAGGAAAAATATAGCTGCAAGCAGCACTTGCCGGGGATCAAGCACTTTAAGGCCTTGAAGGTGGTATGCTTTTAGGGACTAGACCAACCTAGATGTATGGCTGAAAGTAAAACACATCCAAAATGGAGAAAAGGCTCACAGACACAGACACACACAGAAATGAAATGGTTAAACTACTATATTAATACTACTATATTAAAGCATACTTGCGCACACACACACACACACAGACATAAATTCACACACATTTTGTTATAGATATAGATATTTGACATAAATGATAGGTGACAATATTTATTGCAAGTCGTCTCTTTTTAGGAGTTTATATGTCATTTTCAGGTTTCACTGTAATCATAATCTGGCATAATTGTAAAAACTAATATGTCTGTATGAACAAAATGGTTAACTATGACTAAATGTGATTTTAAATGTTATAACAGTGATTTTATACTGTCTAAGCATGAATCCATCAAACCTATGAACAGTACTGTTTAAGTGCATTTTAATGCCAATGTGTTTAATTCCATTAGTGGTCTTCCACTGCCATCTAGTGGTTATAAATGCAATTTCTCATACAACACTGTGTTTAACCTTTATAACTATTATAATGTAATTTTTTGCACAATCTCTCTTAAATTTTGCATGCTTGTTTAAAATGAAATTATGCATCATTTTACACAGTTTTGAGAGACATTGTGGGCTTTCTTTTAGGATTTTAGGCCTTTGGGTACACAATATAAAGAACATATTAAAACATTACAAATGTTTTGCAAATTTTCAACATTTTTTTGATAATTATTGACCTAGAGAGACTACAGAATAGTACTGCACTGATTTGATTGATTTTGAGTTAAAAACAGAGGACAAGTTCACAAAAGTAGGTTTTTAAAATAATCTCAAATATTTAATGAACAGTTTGATTGACAGCATTGGTCCCGGAGGTAAAGTTATTCAGAATGAGAAGATCTATTACATGATATGAAGATACAGTGTATAAGTGAATATATGAACATTTTATTGCAATTTGAGGTCATTTACTACAGAAATACTGTTTCTTCAGGTTGCTTTAACTGTTATAGCGCCACCTATGGTCAGATGTGTATGAAACTTTGCATGCTTGTTAAGTGTCTTCTGTCACATGTT